TATGGATTTCAAATATCTCCCAACGTCATCCAACATTAATACTTGGAAGTATTAGGCTATATCCTAATTAGTAGGATGAGAGTAAATTAGGATAATGCTAGATCATTGCCCTCCGGGTGCGGCACGGCCTACGGCCCACCTGCCGCTGCCCGACAAGAAGAAAATGTAGATCATTCGGTGAAGTGAGAGGCTTAGATCCGCGCTCTCGTACGGCCACGCATGCATAGAACGGCCTCACGGGCGCTCGGGGCCAACGTAAGGCTTGGTCACTTCTTTAGGTTTCATCCCACAACTTCACCCAATTTCATCCCATGTCATCCCCTGGAGAGTTCATTCAGCGTTTTTGCCTGGGGAGTTCAAAATATCATCGTGCAATTATCAGCCTTTTAGTGAAGGTGGCTGGGACATCAACAAGTCCGTTTGCATCGCGTGAATGCTGCATGGCTCAGCTTCGTGGGGCTCCTGAGATGCTTGTCTTGTCCTGCGAATTGACAATTCAAATAAATATCAATCCTGAATTTCACCTTCTATACGATTTCCTACACCGGCATCAACAAATCGGACTGGTGTCACTGGCCGATGGTAATATCCATCTGGTGTGGCAACCTCAACGAAGCAGCGATACACATGGAACAGCACGTGTGTTTCGTCTACCACTTGAACTGGTTCTCCAATGCAAGTGAGTCGAGAGGTTTCTGCAGATGGCCGCTAAATCTTGACGGCTGGGGAGGTTGGGAAGGAATTCGTGCTGCCGTGGACAAAGTGTCTGGTGAACTTTCGCCCCCAGTCGAGTTAGTTTCAAGGCACAGTGCCCTTGGTAGCTAAAAGTGCAGTGTCAAGGTGCCAACCAGTAAGCTCGTGGCTGAATCTAGGCAGCGAATATCTCGGACACAATTCATGTCAACTAATACAACGAGATCTAGTGCTCCATCCATGCAACTTCAAAGGACCTCGTATAACACGTCCCAAATGTCCAAATGTGAAACGTGTGCTGCGGCCACGTACATGCCTGGTGCGACACATGGTGGTGACCCTCCCAACTCAAGAGGACACAGATCGAAGGAGATGGTCATTGTTCATTTGGCGAGTTAAGATGCAAGCCACGACGGGTCGCGACATGGACCTGCAAGAACGGGTGTCGTACATCCAATCCAAGGGAGGGGACGACGACAAAGAGTACGACGCGGTCAAGACCCCTGGCGAGTTGGAAGACGGCGCGCTCGTGGCCGGCGGGGCGTTGAACCTGTTCTCCCGCGAAGCGTTCGGTCTGTTTTCGCAGTACGCGGCCATTGGTGTCATCTACGGCATGATTCCGTCGCTCAACTACCCCATCTTCAACGTGTACCTGCAACTGGAAGGGTACCAGACGTCGTCGTACGGGACGTTGGTGACGTTGGGGTGGTCGTTCAAGGTGTTTATGGGGATGTTCTCCGACTGCTTTCCCATCTTCGGGTACCGCCGCAAGTCGTGGATGTTGATTGGGTGGACGGCCACGATGATCTGTTTGTCCATCATGACGTTTTCATCGTTGGGCGACCCGTACTGCAACCGCGAGAAGGCGGCGTTGATGAAGTCCAAGGCCTGCACCAAGCCGTTCTCGAACGCGACGGAGAAGGAGAAGGAGCTGTTCAACTTGCTCGCGCCGGACAGCGGGTCGTTGTTTATCATTCTGTCCATGTTTGTGTCGCTGGGGTACGTCACGGCGGCGTGTGCGTCGGATGCGATGGTGTGTGAATACGCCCAGCGCGAGCCCGTGGCCATTCGCGGTCGCGTGCAGACGGCGATTTACGTTGTGCGCACGTTGGCGAGCATCTTGGCGTTGATCGTGACTGGGTTTGGCTTGAACGGCGTCAACTACAATGGGTCGTTTGGGTTCTCGATGGCGCCCAACGTCCCGTACGGGATCTGCTTGGTGCCTTGCGTGATCGTGGTGCTCACGACGATCTTTGTCGTGCAAGAGAAGAAGACCCCTGGCGTGCCATTCTCCGAGTGGGTGGGCAACTTCTGGGAGCTGCTCCAGAAGCGTGTCATGTGGCAGATTTGCGCGTTCCGGTTCATCAACAACATGTTCCAGAACATCAGCTCCACGGCCGGCAGTCCCATGTCGAGCATCTGGGCCGGCGTCGAGCCCTTGAACGACTCGTTGTCGGGCATCATCGGAAACGCCATCTTTTCCGGCATCTTGGTCGTCGTGGCCAAGTGGGGGTTGCACTGGAACTGGCGGTGGACCATCGCGCTCGGCTCGCTCGGCGTCATGTTTATTGACGGGATCGTCATCTACTTGACCATCTGGGACGTCGTGCGCAACCAGTGGTTCTTCACGGGCGTGGCGTTGGCCGACAACATCCCCGGCGGTATCCGCTTTGTCGTGTCCACGTTTTGCGCCGTCGAGATCGCCGACGTCGGCAACGAAGGCGCCACGTACGGCTTGGTCACGACCGTGTCCAACTTGGCGTCTCCGTTCGCGTCCGTGATCACCAAGTACATCAACTCGTACTTGAAGTTGTCCCAGAACGACATCATGTCGGACACGCTCGCAGTGCGGTGGGACGTCACGTACTCGTACTTGATCTCGTACGGAAGCAAGCTGTTCGCGTTGACGTGGCTGTGGATGCTGCCGCCCCAGCGCGGTCCCATGCAAGAGTTGAAGAAGAAGGGCGGCAAGAGCAAGTTGGCCGGCATCGTTTTGATCACCATCTTCTTTTCGTGCATCTCGTTCTCGGTCACGTCCAGCATCATGGCCATCTACCCGTCGACCAAGTGCTACCGTATCGCAGGCGGCAACGGCAAGTTGGACCCTGCCACGGGCGGATGCCCCCTTGTCAAGAGCCGCAAGGGTTAGACTCCAAACTGTGTTGTGTAACGTAAGTTTATAGTGTTGTGTTTCTTCATGCGACCTGTGACGTGGTTGCAGCGTGGAACTGTCAAGTCTTATCAAGGCTCCAACGTTGGAGTTTTCAAAGATAATCATACTTGGAC